GGCGCACGTCTCGGGGCTTCATACAAGCAATCCGCCGGCTCTATAGCCGGCGGATCGCTTGTATATTAACGGGCATCGCTGCCTCTTTTCAAATAGCGGGGATTTCCCACTCGCGCGCGCCGCACGGCGCGCCCGAGCGGGCGGATGTAACAGGACGTGTATACACGCCCAGTTACATCCAAGAAGCTCCCGGCAGGCCGTGTATACACAGCGGCTGGCCGGGAGGTAGTTAATCACATGCAGATTTTGTAAGTTTGCCCACTTACAAAGAAATGAAAGGTCTATAATTGTTATCATAGGTATATTTTAAATGAGACTGAATATCAACCAAAAATCCAGAAAAAAAAAAACACATGATACAAATGTTATAAATTGAGTTGCAGTTCAGTGAGCAAAATAACTATTTGATCCCTTACCAACCAATAATAATTCTGGCACCCACAGGCTGGCGATGTGGTACACAGATTAGTCCTGTCAATATAAGAAGATGCTCCTAATGACAACTCGTTATGTATATAAAAGACATCCGTCCACAGATTCTTTCTTCCATTCTAACCTCACCACCATGGGCAAGACCAAAGAGCTGTCAAAGGACGTTCGGGACAAGATTGTAAACCTGCACAAGGCTGAGGAGGTGTGCAAACCTGGTAACCAACTACAAGAAACGTCTTACCTAACTGGTACTAAGTCATGTTTTGCTTGGGGCTCAAATACCTTTTTTACTCATTGAACTGCAACTCAATTTATAACATTTGTATCATGTGGTTTTTCTGGATTTTTGGTTGATACTCTGTCCCTATCATTTAAAATACACCTATGATCAAAAATTATAGACCTTTCATTCCTTTTAAGTGGGCAAACTTACAAAATCTGCAGGGCATCAAATCTTTGCCATACTGTACATCAGTTTTAAAGCTATTGTTTAACAACACTGTCGAACTTCAGTACCTCTGTTTTCTTCTGAATTTTGATTTTGCGGAGGTGGTCCTTCTTTAATTTGCTGCAATCTTCTCAGCAACTCCTCTTTAGTAATCTCCCCTGTGAAAGAGTACAAAATAACAGAAATAAGCAAGTGTAAAGCAGAGAATCTGGACAAAAAATTATTGCAATTTACACATTTTTAGTTCAGTAAAACAAGAGAGCAAAATGTTCATCAGTTATCAATTTTCACTCCATAAATAATTTGGAGCATGATACCTATAACACTTTAAAAGGAGAACTATGGGGTCAGTGTTTTTCCCCATAGTTCTCCTTAGGGTAACGGGAGGACACAAACTAGCGTCCTCCCGTCACCCTAAGCTCAGTATACCGCCAGCTACAGCTCGTGGTCTACTGAGACGCCGCAGCCTGAGCGGATCCCGACGTAGATGACGGGATCCGCCCAGCTGCGTGAGTGACAGCTTGCTCTGCCTATCTAGAGGCAGAGCCAGCTGTACCCGCCCCGTCCGTTCAGCCAGTCAGCGCTGGCAGATCGGAGAGGGGAATCCAGCCCTCTCCCTGTCACAGCAGAGAGCCGTGACATGATCGAGAGGTGAGCGAACGCCGGTATGTGTTCGCTCACCTCCCGATCTACTGAGCCGACCTGTGACAGCCTCATTGTCACAGGTCGGCTAGAACTATGAGGTGAGTGGAAATCACTCATCTCATAGTTCTCCTTTAAGATTACACTTGGCTACTCTGTCACAGCTTTTTAATTTTTAAAAAAACCCTTAACTGTAAAAGAAGGCAGTAAATACTAACCTTTCCCGATGACTAAGCTGTCAAACTCTGCTCCGTTTACTAGAACTGGCCCCCTAAAGGCTGCTGGAAAATTGCAAATTTCAAGAGTGTTGATCTCCCAAAGTCCCCGCAGCTTACTGGTATCTCCCTATAACCTCGCACTACTGCAGGAAAGAGTGGTGATGAGATCGGGGGGACCATAGAGATCTACAATCCTGGAAGCCTCGGTTTACAAATAGAAAACTGCGACTGTCGCTTTACAGCTTACCTGTGGCTGATCTAGCCATAGGAACACACTGTCTAAATGATAACTGCATGTAGGCATCAGGAGGTGCCTGCACTAAGCTTACAAATAAAACCACTGGCTATAGAATGTGATGTAGCCAACAGGCAGGTAAGCAGACTAACTGGGTACAGTTAGTCAGTCCTAAACTTTTAAAAAGTCCTGTGCAAGATCAGGTATGACAAGGTGCCCATCAGTACCTATATTAGCCAGAGACTAACACACTTTGATTTAGTTTTACTTTGTTACTGGGGAAATCCCTTTAACCTTTTTGCTGCCACAAGGATTATGTTAGCAGCACCACCGACTTATAAACAAACTTCCAGCCACTTAAGCTGCTGGGAGTTTATTTACCTTTTTACAGGGAGCTGTCGGCTTTGTAGAAAAAGTGATTTAATTGGGTGACTGTAAAAGGTGCAGTCCCTCCCTCCCAAGACCCTCAGTCATGTGTCCCTTGGCTTATCTCATCTTTCTAGGTGTACAGAACTTCTATGTTGTCAGGATGGAGTGACAGGAGATCAGCGAACATCTATCCCAAGATCCCCTATGTTTAGTTTGAACCCGGAAGCGCTTAGCTCTCAACACTTCCAGGTTCAGAGCAGTCAAACCATGGCTGACATTGCTGAGGCTAATCAAGCACAATACAGGCTAAATCGGTGCAGAAGGTTCAGGGAAGCCACGCTGACATAGCTGGAGCAGCGGTTTGCAAACATGACGACTAAAAAAGTGTTTGGCCAAAATTGCAAAATACTTTGCTGGGCAATTTATATAATGGGGGTGGGGTTCTTTTATTGCTTTAACCCCTTAGTGACCAAGGCCTTTTTTTTGTTTTTGAACCCATGTTATAATCCACATTTTAGGCCTGAAAATTACTTTAAACCCCCAAACATTATATAATTTTCTGAAAGCCAAGACCCTGTAGAAGAAGATGGCGGCAGTTGGAAAAGTTTATGTCAGAGCAACTTATCAAACCCAAACATTTTGTGAAAAATGCACTTAAATTAAATATAGTGCCCCAAAACACAATAAAATAACCATTTGTCTTGTAAAATATAAAAGAGGAGGTTACAACAAGTAAATAGATACCCAACATGTCCAGGTCACAAATTGTGTGCGTCCGTAAAGCTGCGACATAATTCAGTAGCCCAAACAGTCCATATACGACGGTTTAAAAGCCCCTACAAGTCATCAGTTTAGAGATGCACATAAATATTGGCCCTAGAATTATTTCTCTCACTCTGGCATGCACGGCAATACCAAACATGTGTAGCGTCATCGTCGCTTTTGTATGTAGGCGCAACCGATGCATGTTTATGTTATGGCAAACGTGCTCACGGGGGACTTTAAAAAAAATTCAAAAATTATTTTTACATTTCGTTTCAAGCCCCCCATGTGATAGCAGATTGGTGCCGACAGGTACTCTAAAAGGTGAAACTGGGGGTCAAAAAGACCCCTAGCATCACCTTTACACTCTAAGCTATTGAAGTGCAGATCACACTTCAATAGCTTATTGCTGGGCTTCAGGAGCCCAGCGCTGACAACGATGGGATCGGAAGTGATGCAATACGTGTCGCTCCCGGTCCCATAGAACAGAGAGATTGGTAAATGGGCGGTCTCCACCCAGCAACCCCCACCCCCCGGTCCTGGGCCCGCAGGAGGGGCAATGGAGCGCAGAAAACACGGTGAGGGGTGTCAGGCAGACAGTTTACCAGCACGTAGAAGTGATCTGGCAACAGCTGAGTTGCCGGAATCAAATCTATTGTGAAGCCGACAAACGGCTTTACAAATGTACAGAGTCTGTTTAAACTGGCCCGCTGCCAGTGACGTACTATGTACGTGACTGGTCGCGAAGGGGTTAAGGATACCTGTACTCTGAAATAAGGAGGCAGTCATTGCAGAGCTCCTAAAATACTATTTGCTTGGCTGTCTCTGGCTTCAATACTTTGAGCCACTGACCCAGAGAAAGAATACAGATTAAAGTCACTGGATCAACAACAGCCAAGCAAGTAACATTTTAATAAGAGAAAACCATGGCAGGCTTCATATTCTAAGTACAGGGAAGCAACATGCGTGCGTGTCTGTAATTGTTCTTTTACTATACGACAACGAATTCCATGGACCCCCCAGTATTTTTGGACTAAGCTGTCTAATTAGAGATGAATCATTGCTCTGACTAGCTCACTTATGTTCTTAAATTGCAGCAATAAAGCATGTAAACAAGCCATTGCTCATAGCAAGCTGTAAATAGAGACAATTAAAGGGTATTGATGGTCAAAAACTAAAAATAAATATGTATTTCTATATTTCCATACATTTACATTCTATCCCACTGCTAAAAAAAAAATGTCGCCCAAGCAGTCTAAACTTACTTATTAAAGATGCCCATCGGCACTCACAATTTCACTCAGCCCTGAGAATATGTACTTCCTTGTGTCACCAAGCCTGCTATCCAAACTACAACAACTCTTTCCCCCCCTCTCTCACAGTAAACACAGGAAACGCTGACAATGTAACATTATCATTGTTTGCTGGAAGCAATGCATGATGGGATATGTCGTTTTGAGAAATGGAGATTGCATCACATCAGCAGGGAAAGAGACGCAAAGCACACTGAGAATCCAGGAAGTTGTTGAAAGTGATGAGCAGACAGAAGGCAGCGCTCACTACATAAAAAGGATTTTTACAAGTAAGCTTTGATTGCATTATAAAAAACCCACTAGTATGTATCCTAGTATATGCTGTGACTTTAGAACTTAGTGAAACAGCTGAAGAGCCCTTCGCATTGGCTTAAAAAACAAAACAAAAAAAAACAAAAAACACAATATATTTCAAATTTACAGAAAAATGTAGAAACATTTTAAACAATCTTAAATCCTGATAAAAAGAAAACCCACCGTGCATTACCCTAAAAGGCAGACCGAGGTGGTAAATGGGCAAATGTCTTTTGGGATTAGCAATATTAGCATTTCATGTGCAAGTTTAAAGTTATTGTATTCTGAAATTCATACTTTATACTATTGTTTAATGAGGGCGATAAAATCGGCTAACCCGTTGTAAAAGGGCGCCAATACGTTCAAACGCATTTGTTTAAAAGGCCGCCATTATGAAACCTTTTTGAATTATTCTCAGAATTCATTCTCTGATTACAGAAATACAGTATGCTACTAGTTTTTTGTTGTTGGGGACACAACGGGGGTATTAAGGTGAACACATTGGTATTTGAAATTAAAATTGCTTCTACAAATGTGTTTGAGGGCTAGCTCACACCAGAACAGCGCGCGTCTGCAATGCGATTTGCCATGATTTAACCGCAAATTATGCGTTTTTGTTTCTTGCTCAAACACTTGCTGACCAGGTGTTACCACCCCTTCCTGGCTAGGCCATTTTTCAGTATTGAGCGCTGCGGTACTTTGACTGACATTTATTCCGTCATGCAACGCCGTACTGAAATGAATTTTATACCCTTTTTTGGGGACAGATAGAGCCTTCTTTTGGTGGTATTTAATCACCACTTAGGTTTTTATTTTTTAATATATTAAGGAAAAATTACTGAACATTTTGTAAAAAAAAAAACGTTTTTTTTTTTACATGTTCGGAAACATTTATTATTACCCAATTTTTTGGTACAATATAAAATACGGGGTCACGTCAGGTAAATTGACACCAAACATGTCAAGCTTTAAAATTGCCATACCCAAAATCGACCATAGACAACGCTTTAAAAGCTTTTACCACTCATCAGTTTAGTGTTATCAGTGATTGATGGCCCTAGAATTATTGCTCTCACCGCGACGTTCGTGGCGATATGCAACATGTGTGGCGTAATGGGCCCAATCATCGTTTTCGCACGTATGCACACCTGACATATGTTTGCACGCGTGTATGTATGGGGGGGACTTTAAAAGATTTTTTGTGCTTTTTTATTCTTTTTCACTTAACTTTATTGCTATCACATAGGGGGCTAAGAAAACCCCCTATTTATCGCAAAGAGGATGTGACCGGTCCTCTTTATGGAGACATTAGGGGTCTCCAAGACCCCTGTCACCTAGGAACCGGACCGGCGACTTATACAAGCGATCCGTCGGCTGATCGCTTGTATGTTAACAGGTATCGCTGCCTGTTTTTAAATTTAGGTAGTTTCCCGCGTGAGTGGGCAGACCTGCCGTGACGTTTGAATACGCCTGCTCAGTTCCAGAAAGCACACGGCCGGCTGTACTTTTACAACGGCCGGCAGGTAAAATGGGATTTCAGGTGCGTTCCAGTGCATTTGCATGCATTTTTGATGCGTTCCGGTGCAATCAGATGCAGCTAAAATAGGGCCAGCAATATTTTTCTGACTGCGTCGGGACGGACTGCACTGGTGTGAATAGAGCAGCAGAAATCCCATAGGAAAGCATTGTGATGTACTTTGGCTGCAGCAGCCAAACTGAACGGACTGCATCTGGTGTGAACTAACCCATAATGTGGACTGAATTATTGCGTAATGTATACTGCACCTGGTCAAAACCCTCAAGCAAATGTAAACGCTTTCTTTTCCCAAAGAACTTTAAAATGTGTTTTATGAAGAAAAAAAGTCCTTTGGGCAAAAGTGTGTGTTCATAATGGGACTTCTTTCTGTAGTTTCTCAATCCACTGACAAACTATGCCAAAGAAGAACTCTGGAGGGAGAGCTCAACAAACAGCTTAACAGCTAGCCAGCTCCAAGGATCAGGTGAGTAGAACGTTATTTTTGCACCAAGACAAAAATGGGCACTTAATCCCTGCAATGCGGGGGGGCAGCCCCACTGCAAGGGTTAAGAAATGTTTTTTCCCCCCCAGGGTTCTTCTTTAAGGGTTGCATTTGAAATGAGTACCTGGGGTTCCTAGTAAATTATTATCCCTCATGAGCCGGTAATCCTCTTCATTCAAATTATTCACAAACTGATAGAAAGCTTCCTCTCTGTCCAACCGGTCCATCTGACTTTGGCGTTGAGAATCTGACTGTTCAGCACTTCCTTTCCCGGTAGAATCGGCACTCTCCATGTTAACTGATGGATGTAAAGGTGAACCTGTCTAACAAAAACTGTGTTAACACACAAAGCAAGGAAAGTTTGCAAAACGTGCATGATCACTGCAACTTTAAACCCTTCCCTAACCATTCCCTTCATGACTGGCGGTCAGTGGCACTATAAGACCCCACCCCCCCCCCCCCCTCCCCCTCTGCACAACCTGCTCTCC